CTATTTCTTTCACTGAAGAGTGAACAAATCCATGGAACACTGTGGTTTCTTGATTTTCTAGCTGAGATAGGGACTTTCCATTTTTCATTCCCAGTATATGCACATCCCAATTCCAGCTCCTTAGAAAGCCAGCTTATACCAAGTTGGATCATCCATCCGTCTCCATATTGTACAGTCACCCACAATCACTAACCACAGTTTCAGACAAGAGTTTTTTTTGCCCATAATTGCAGATACCAGAGAGTATATGTGGGGATTCTGCATGCAAGGCACTCTGCCATCATATTATGAACAATATTATCTAAATAATTCAGTTCTGAAAACTCCCCTGGAAAAATAATGGCTGGTTTCATTTTCTTCTTTAATTTTCTAGAACAGAAATATTTCTCTCCCATTTGTCATGTACAACTTTTATTTTTAGAGTATAATCCTGTGACTATCAGCTTTAAAGCCTCATTGAATTAAATGAGTCTTACTCTCCAAGTAAATGTGTATAAGTTTGCAATTCATAATTCTGGGATGACTTATAATAAGTGGAAAATTAATATAATTATTATATTTCAGGCACATATGTTCTGGGGGGGACCAAAAAAGTGTATTTAAATTTTATTTAAAATATTTTAGGTTTGTTTTTATTGCCTGTCTTCAGAAAAAAAAGGGACAACATTCTGATGAAATGAAAAACTGATAAGCCTTGACATTATACCATATTATGAGTTGCTCTTTCTTCTTTTCATTGTGTCCTCCCTAACTATGAATTGCTGAGACTTTTTAAGCATGAGCATGTTGTTAATGAACTACCCATATGTTATATTCCTTCCTATGTGTGTTATGTGCTGTCAACTCAGAATCAACTTGGAACAATTCTACCAGGGCTTTCAAAGTGAGAAGTTTAAAGAATGGTTTCACCAGTTCCTACCACCACTCCTTATGAGTTTCCATGCCAACTGATAATTTGAACCCAGGTCTCCTCAGTCTTAGGCCATCATCCTATCCATCAAACCACAATGAGTAGCTGTTTTGGTTAATTACTTACTATACATTGAAAGAGGAGGGTGAAGAAAAGTTATAACTTTTACTTTTAAAAATTCCATGTCTTTTTGAAAGTTTTGGAGCTCACCTTATCTATAAATTAAATTCCATAAAAAAGGGATATTGATGTAAGTTATCAGCAGCATATATGCCCTCTAAAAGTACCAAACTTGCATTTTTTTCACCTTCTTAACCCAAAACAAGCAAAAGACCCTTTTAAAACACTTTAATGCAGAGTGATCACCTCTAAGGCCTACTAGAGGTAGCCTTACAGCCAAATCTAGCACCGTGGTAATCATTCAGGGAAGAGCAGCCTTTGAAAAAAGCAGCTCTCTTCTCAAAAGCTTGTACTGAAGAAGTATTAAGAATGCTGACTATCAACATTCATATTTAAAATTAAAGGCCAACATTATACCCACTTTCACGACACTGGAATGTATTTTTAGTGAAACATAAGGATGGATGTAAGGGGAAGAAAACAGCATGTCCTTCGGAGTGAGATCTGAAACAAGTGTTTCACATTGCTTTGTGGTGAACCAATTTCTGTGTAACCTATAGGCTTCAGTCGTGACCTTGGCATTTTGCAACTCAGTTTATTATTTCCTGACATCACTGGTGTCATCTTCATTTGACTAGTCCTGCCATTCTTAATGAGTTTTTCCATCTTCACACCGCCTTCAAACATTCAATAAATTGTAATATAGTTGTAATACAGTAATACAATACAGACTAAAGAGACAGAAGAAAAGCTACTGGTTGTGAGCCTGGATCTGCCGGCTGATTTGCTTTCCTCTTGCCTCGTCTGATCAATAGGGGGGAAATACAAATCAGCCCACCCCAAACCCATAGCATTATCTACATTTTTTTTTTTTTGCCAATGTGTTTGGCAAACCCATAGCATTATCTACATTTTTTTTGCCAATGTGTTTGCCCCCTGAGACAAAAAGTTCCCACAGTCCTGATGACAGAACCAAGACTGGCCTTTAACAGCTTCTCATCTCCAGCCAATCCTTTGGAAATATTACAGAACGAATAGCACAGAAAACTTCCGAGACTGAGTAGCCCTGATCAAACAGGAATCCTGTTGCCCATTGTCAGAAGTTTAAAATGGGCTTCTTTGGGAAAACAGCAGCTTGCCACTCTGAAAATAGCTACCAACATCAAACCTTTTTATCATATGGTGTTAGCGATGGTGGTGAGCAGATCTCTTGAGTCCGATTCTATTCCTACCATCATGCGATAAAACGGGAATAAGTCCTAAGTGCAGGATGACTCGGGTTATCTCTCTAATCATGCATAAGCGTAGATTCTTTCATGAGTGTGAATCTTATCTTTTTCACAAAATCACTCTAAGAACTCTTCCTCCGTTTCTTAAAAATGCAGCTGGAGGGCACAAAGAATAACATCGTTTTAACAAGCAGCCAGTGGAAGCTTGCTTACGTGGGCAGCTTTCTCATTAATCCTCCCCAACTCACCCCCAGCTTTCGCATAAGAGGGATCTCTGACTGGAGCACAAGGAACAATTCCTGATGTGTTCCCTGAATGGTGAAGAGGAGGAAAGGAGAAAGATGACTTCATATCTGCTCTGAATATTGATGTGCAGCTCCCAAACTGCAGGAACGGGACAGGGTGGAGGATGTGTGGATTGAAAAGGACAAAGGGGCAAATGTTTGAAAACAAAAGGGAATTTGGATAATTCAGCCAAGGCTGTAAAAGCAGGACGAGGACTCCCGTTGAACAGAACCGTTACTATAGAAAATATCCTTGAGTCATTCCTGAGAGAAGCCCTTACGGAAGAGTGTGTTGGTCATATGAAAGAAATTATCCTGAAGGTTTTCTTTTTCATTAGAAGGACTAATTAAGAAGTATGTGTCATTCCTACAAGAGAGCAGTCTCATTTAAAAAAAAAGGGGGGGACCAACAACCATGTGTCAGCTGCAAAGGATCTGCTCCATAATGCTGTTTCTTTAAAATGAAAGACCACTCTTTCAGAAGGACCAGGAATGAAATCTAGCTTTAGCACTTTCTAACGTGGCAAGGAAACTGGTAGAATATCCAGCATCTGCTTCTACTGTTTCTACCAAAGTACTGGCTCTACCATGATGGAAAGTTGTCAAAACTGTGGTAAATCTATTCTTCACCTTCCTGGCGTTTGCTTCAGCTGGTTAAAGACAAAATGGAAAGCCCATCTTGCCCATAACTCTGAGGCCCATTCAGCATATAGGCTTCCCTTCTGCCTCAGGAAGTCTCTTGGCTTGGAAAACTTTACCCCCGGTTTTAAACAGATTTCCTTAGAGGTAAACACCGTACTCCCATTTACTTCAATAGCATGTGTTTTTATACAAATGTAATTAGGACCTCAGAGTCCACATATGCAAATATGCTTAGGGTCCACATACCCTCCTCTCTCACACAGACAGAGCGAGCTACTGGGGTACAAAATAAAGTTCCTCCACAAGAATGCCACAGAGTTGTTGCTACACTCGTCGGTGACTGTGTGCTACACTGCAAAGGAAGAAGAAGAGTTCTGTATAACCAGGAAGTAAAGTATTTAAGAATTCCATACTAATGCAAGGCCGGCTGAAACAATCTACCTCTTCCTTCACTGTATGTAGCTGTGCCAGCTTCATCCTTATTTCCGTAGATCAGCCATGATGATGCTCCTTCAGCCTCTGTCAGTAAAGTGGGCCAGAAATGACTGGGAGGAGAATGCCATTCAGTTGTGGTTGGGAACAAAAGGATGTGCCCTGGGGTGGAGTGGAGTGGGAGGGGGGAAAGAGATGCATGCAATCTGCTGCCAAAAAGAGAGGGGCAGGTGCTGGAAACAGAGGCTGTGTCACGAATGGAGTGAGCTGAGTAGAGACTGAGAGTCATCATCACCCAGGCTGTCCCCAAGGGTCTCACCACAATAGCAGTCTGAGCTCAGAAGTAGGCCAGGCCAGTTTAGAAAGAGGGTGGAAAGGAAGATGAATGAGGGACTGAGAGAGGGAATGGGGGCCAAGCAGGGACCCGTCAAGTGGGAGACCTAGAGCTGGAAAAAGCAGCACAGCCCCGTGAAGTTAGCTGAGGGGGTGGTAGGTGAGCTGCGCCAGGACCTAAAATGAGCAGTTGATTCTTCAAAAATAAAAAAGGGCGGCGGGGGGGGGCGGGGGAAAGAAGCACACCAACAAAGTAGAGAGAGGAAGGCATGGGCGGGGAAGCTGGCGTGAGGAGAAAAGCCCACCGTGCTGACCGTTTGGAATTATAGGAGCCTCCGTTTCCAACGGGATCCAGGCTTGAAACAAATGGAAAGAGCAGGTGCTGAACGTCAGAAGAGAGCTGAGAATAGAGTGGCATGAGAAGGATCTCAC